GCCCACCTGCCAACGCCGCCGTCTTCTTCATCAGGCTGTCCTCATACTTGGCCACGCCACCGGGCAGCGCCTGTGGCTGGCCACCCCACGCCTGCAGGCTCTCATCCCCGGAATACCGGGCCGGATAAGGGCTGTTCTCCTGCACGGTGTAATTGGAAAAGGCCGGCCTGCCCTGCAGCTGCTGCCCTGCTAATTGCTTGTTTCCCCGGTGGTATTTCTCCACGGCGCTGTTCTCGTAGCCCGCGTACGGCAGCTGCTGCTGACTGTAGTACTCCTTTGCCACCAGCCTCTGCCGCTCGCAGTTCGGCCCTGCCTGACTTTGATGCCTGTAATTCTCCAGGCGTGATGTATCTTGTGAAGTCGGCTGGTAGCTCTGCTGGTTGCCATGGAAACCACACCTTTCTCGAAAGGACTGCATGGCGCGGGCTCGTTATCTGCGAAGAGAGAGAGGCAAGAATTCAAATGAAGCCTTGCCACCATGGCAGGCCGGGGACCGAGAGGGCCATGTCTCCTGCGCCATGGGGGCATCATCGCCTCACCTCACCTCGCCTGTTGGGCACCACCCTGATGGGCATTGCCTCGCTGCCACCCTGGAATGCAGTACCTGCTGATGCATCACCTCCCATCACCCTGTGTTGTCTGCCCTGCACTGCCCCACATCGCCTTGCATCGCTCTCCATCACACCTCACTTTGTGTTTCACCTCCCTGCATTGTGTTGCTTTGCATCACATCACCCTGTTGCACTGCCCTGTATTGCATTGCCTGACACTACCCTTGCATCGCATCACCTTCCATTTCATTGCCTTGCTTCATGTTGCCTTGCATTTCATCACCCTGAATTGCATTGCCCTGCATCACATTGCTTTGCATCCTCCTGCATCGCATCACCTTCCATTTCATCTCCCTGCATCGTGTTGCCTTGCATTGCATCGCCCTGAATTGCACTGCCCTGCATCGCATCCTCCTGCATCACCTCACATCACCCTGCATCACATCGCCCTGCATTTCATCTCCCTGCATCACGGTGTCCTGCATTGCATTGGCTTGCATTGCACCCTGCACTGCATCCCACCCCATCGTCCTGCATCCCATCCCCGTGGGCTCCATCGCCCTGGATTGCCCTGGATCACAGCAGCTGGCTCTGTGTCACCTCGCGTCGCTCTGCATTGCGCCGTGTCGCCCCACATCACATCGCCTGGTGCTGCATCCTCACCTTGCAGCATCCTGCATCCTCCACTATCCCATCTCCTTTCATCACCCCACACTGCAGCATGGTGCCCATGGGCACAGGGGTGCTGGGTCCAGCTGCACCCTCCCTGCCAGCAGCAGGCCCAGCCACCCTTCTGCCCCTGCTGCTGGGAGCTGTCCCATCCCTGCTGCCCAACCCTCCCTGCCTGCCCGATGTGGTACAGTGACCCCCCATGCCATGTCAGGGTCCCCCAGCCTCATGCTCTGTGTTTCACACACCCACCAGCCCTCAGCTCTCCAAATCACTCCCCCTCTCCTTGCACACCCTCTCCAGGGACTCCTGGATCCTGCGAGCCCCTCTGCACACCCCGCTTATCACCATTCTTTTTAATTATTGGGCTAATTACTGGAAGCAGCAGCGCGGAGGGCCAGAACCGCAGGCTCTGCTGCAAAAAAAGTCATTTCAACTTGCTGGCTCTGCCCATCTCTGCCGGCTGCTGCCTCCCACAGCCCCCCCTGCCCCAGTGATCCCCCTGCCCCGGCGTGATGCCATCTGGAAGCTGTCTGCTCCCGCCGGCAGCCGTCATTTCCGAGCGCCTCGCCACCGTCATCATTAGAGCTCCCTGTTTCCTCACTCTGCTTGTGCTGGGTGCAGGGACACACCTGGGTCACTGGTTTGATCTCTTGAGGCAGCTGAATGGCTTGTGAGGGCTAATGAAGGGCTCGGTGGTGGGGGGATGCATCCTGCCCATCCCCAGCACTGGTGGGTCCGGGGCGCTGGGGTGGACAGAGCCTGTTTCAGGCATGGATTGAGATGTCAGAGCCCGGGTTAGGGCAGCCCCAAGGGTTTGCCGGTGCCTGGGGACATCCCTGGCATTGCTCCCTTGGCACTGTGATGCAGCTGTGACAGCAGTGCTGTCCCCTCAGCCTCCATTAAGGCAATGAGTGTTATGAAGGGATGGGGTGCTGGTGGTGTGCGTGCCAAGACCATCCCACACTTCCCTGTGGTGCCAGGCAGCCTAGAGTTGGGACATGGATCCACGTGTGTCCCCATGTGCCCATCACCACCCTCATGCCACCACCATGCGTGGCTCCAGACAGTCCCTTTGCTGGCAGCTCTGCCACAGCTGCACAAACTGCACAGCTGGTTTGATGGGTCCCAGCTCAGCCTTGTTTCCTCACAGCACCCACTGGTAACACCTCAGCACCTTTTCGGGGTCTAGGTAAACACACAGGGCTTTATTTAGTTCTATTTTCATAACCACTGGAAGCTCAGGGATGCACCAATCACATGGTGCCCTCTGGCACCACTGGAGCCACCACCACAGAACCTTGTCCCTCCCTCTTTTCCATCCCCTTTTGGGATGTTTTCCACGTCACTTCCCCTCATTGCAGTTGCATCTTACAGGCTGTGTGGGTAACTGGATGCAGTTAAAGCCCAAATTCCAGGGAAAAGGTGGGTCAAAAAATTCTGGAAAGGCCAGTGAGAAACTCCAACCACGGCGTGGAGTGGTGCTGTCCTGTGCCAGCCCTGTGCCAAGAAAATGAAAGCCAAGGTTGTGGGGCAGCCCTGGGTGGTGGTGGGAGAACTAATGGGAGCAATTCCCACATTCTCTATATGGGAGTGGGTTTGAAAAATGAAATTGGCTTGAGAAGACCCTGGACTGGAGCTTTAGGGGGAGCTTTTCCCTCCTTTCTCCTTTATTATTAATTATCGCGATTAATTATTGTTATTAATTAATTGTTAATTTTCCAAACCGCTGAGACAATGCCTGGATAAGCAAAAGCATGTGGTGTGAGGGGACGGATCAGTCACCAGCATGCAGAGGTGGGAACGCACAGAGGGAATGTGTGTTCCAGCCGAAATCCCATGAGCCCAAAGGCCGTGGCCCCATCTCCCTGTGGACCACCCAGGCACCCGGCTCTGCCTGGGAGGGGACACGCTCATCACCAGCAGCACCCGGACCAGCAGCAGACCCGGAGGCCAGCTCTGCCCTCGGATCCACCGCGGCTCTGCCGGGGAAGGGCCGCGCCAGATGTTGCTCCTGATGTAGCTGTTTCCCAGCAAACGCTTTAATGGCATCAAATCAAGCTGTCGACAGCAGCGAGGTTACGGCCCTTCCCGGGAGGGGAAGGCGACTATGGCTGGTCCCGGGGGCCCTGTACACTCACTGCCCCCGCCACATCCCTGCTGGACGTGCTCTCCCGGCACTTCCAAAGAAGTTTCCAGCTGCCACCCCCACGATGGGAATTGATACGAGGCTTTTGGTGCACGGCTGCCACTGGACACCTGCCCTTGGCAAAGCCACTGTGCTACAGCCAAGGCTCATGGTGTGGGTGCCTGGGAAGGGTCCCCAGGGTATCCATCAGAGAGAAAAGGACCTGGGGCCATTGTGGTGCCCAGCACCAGTGTGACCCTGTCCCTGCAACACAAGGAGCTGCGCTCACTGCTGGCTATGGCCATCCAGGAGCATCTTGTCCCCTCTGTCCCCTGGGAGTGTGGACAGCCCAGCACAGCCCCTGTGTCACCCATGGGGGACACAAAACCTCCCAGCTCCAGTGCAGGACGCAGGGCCATGATGGTGCACAAGGTCATGCTGCAAGTACAGGGGGCTGACACAGTACATGGAGCCGACACGGTGTAGGGGGCTGACGTGGCACATGGGGCTGATGCCGGAGCTGGGGCTTGCCAGCCCAGCACAGCTGCCTGATCAGGGTGGCCCACAGCCTGCCTGCTGCTCCAGAGGATTTGTGCTGCCTGGCTGGATTCGGTGTTATTTTCCTTCCCCAACCCCTCCTTCCTTCTCTGCCTTTTCCCCTTTCCTCCCCCTTTCCCTCGACTGGCAGGGACATGGCATGGCTGGATCCGGAGCCCTCTGAAGGCAGCTCAGGATTTCCCATGGCAGGGACCCTCGGTAAGCACCCAAGACCCCCAGCACCTCAGACCCGGAGGGCAGAGGATGTCCCCCATTTCCCTGTGCTCCAGCCTCGCTTCCCAGCTGCTGCTCATCCCGCGGGGCCTGATCCAGCCCTGCTGCTCCTCTGGCTGCTCCCTCGCCTTTGCTGCTGCGCCATCAACAAGGACTCAGGGACTAAAAATAGCAGCGTGCTCTCACAGGGGGATGCTCCACCATCAGAGCCGCGCTGGCACCGCGAACCCCTGTTCTCCACCCCAAAACCCCCGCAAAAACCCCCTCCCAGCCCTCACCTCCCACCCAGGGGTGCAGCCCCACACGGTGAGGTGGCATTGGAGTGGGAAAGGAAGGGATAGGACCCCCCCGGATCCCCCAGCGGCTCTCAGGGAGGGGAATAAGCGCCTATCGAGTAGCGTCAGCCCCGGATTTGTTTAATTGTGAGCTGGTGGAGTTTAAAGAAACCCTTTCTGGCTGGCTGCCACACCACAAAGTGCTCCGGAGAATTTGATTATTAAGGGAGGAGAGAAAAGGGAAGGCTGCAGGGAGGGGGGGGAGCCAGGGTGTGTGGGACAGACCAGGAAAGGACATCCTGCCCCAGGAGCTGGGAGTGAGAGGAACTGGGGGGATGGAATACAGACAGACCCCCCCCCTCCCCGGCAGTGCAAAGGGAGGGGCCACCCCTCCAGGCAGTTGTGGAGATGCCACCATCCGTCTGTCCCTGCCCCACTGCCAATGCACCCCCTGTTAAATGCCCCCTCTAATGCCCCCCACTAATGCACCCTCCCTCCAGTGAATCCCTTTAATACACCCCCTCTCCAACGCACCCCCTTAATGCACCTACTTACTGCACTGTCCCCCAGTAAACCCCTTTACTGCATCCTCTGTCCAGGGCACCCCATTAATGCTCTCCCTCCCCAATGAACCCCTTTAATACATCCTCTCTCCAGTGCACCCCTTCCATGCACTCTCATTAGTGCACCCTTGCCCCAGTGTGCCCTAATTATGTGCTCTCCCCCCAACGCACCCCATTAACACCCCCTCTCCCCAATGCCCCCATACACCACCAGTCGCTGCCACATCCAGTGCTCCGCCCAGTGCAGTGCCTGGGGGGTTATGGTACCCCCAGGGCAGCCCCTGCAGCCCCCCACTCCCCCCAGCCCGCCCCCCCCATTTCGGCGCTCAGCGACCGGAGCAGCTGTTCCCTGCACTACTTCACTTGCCGTTCGCAGATGAATGAATAATGGAGCTCGGGCTGCAAGCCGCCCATTGGCGTGGGGGTGGTCGGATGGTGGTAGGGAGAAGGAGAAGAGGGATATGGTCCCCCATCTCC